TGTGGTTGGAGTCAACAGAGCGCTATATGAAGTGTGAGCTGGAAGAGCACAACCGCTTGCTACAGGAAAAACAGCTGGAGTTGGAGTCAACAGAGCGCTATATGAAGGGTGAGCTGGAAGAGCACCGCCGCTTGCTGCAGGAAAAACAGCTGGAGTTGGAGTCAACAGAGCGCTATATGAAGGGTGAGCTGGAAGAGCACCGCCGCTTGCTGCAGGAAAAACAGCAGGAGTGGGAGTCAAAAGAGTGCTGTTTGAAGGGCGAGCTGGAAGAGATCAAGAACCAGCTTTCTCAAAAGACAAAGAAGAAGAAGTGGTACAGAAGATTAATCTAATCTAATCCTGACTCCACAATGGCTCCACAATTCCACGATCAGCAAGATAAAATGAAATCAGATAATTTTGTACTTTTACAGAAAAAGTAAATGGAGGGCCAGCTGAAACATCTTCATCCACACAGACTGTAACCCTTGCATTTTGTTCAGTTATTTCTCTTCTTATGTGCAATAAGAAAAAAGTAAAATCATTTAAATAATGTATTATTTGGTTTGTTATTAATAAGAATTTAAGATGCACTATAGTAATAAGTGTTTTGAGTTTACTTTAGAAGCTTATAGTTGTAGATTATAAGCTGTCACAAAGTGGTGCCGTTTTAAACAACCCTTTGAGTAATCGTTTAATCTCATTTGTAATATATATACTTTTCTTTGTGGAAACTTACTTCACTACAGTACAGTAAAAAATGGTAAAATTCCTTTAACTTTGGCACCAGAAAATTACGGTAAAATTAGAAAAAAAAAGTCATTTAAATGCAGGTTTTTCCTTTAAATCCGAAGTGAAACCTTGAGTATTTAATAATATAGTAATAACTATAGTATACTGTAGTAATAACTATAAATGCAATTACACTGCACACTTTTATAATAAAACCACTGAGACCAGTGTTTAATCAACTATTGATCAGAGTAGACTTCTTCTTCTTCTTCTTGTAATAAGAATACAATGTGAAACAGAAGCAGCAGTAGTTGTTATAGCTCAGGTACAACTAGCCCACAGCTACAGCTTATAATAAGTAGCAGCCTAGTAAACTACAGGAGCTGGAAGTAACAGCTCTGTGAATTACTGCCACCTACCGGCGACACCGGCTACGTGCAAGATCCTCCTTTACAAGCAGCCAGGGGACGTAGAGGTGAGGGGTATAGTATCCAGGTCCCCATCATGTAGAGGCCCTTCAAAAACCCCATTTTAAATGTGTTTTATATCTCATATTTGGACATCTAATGTTGTTAACATTGGCTTATTTTACATTTCTTCTAAGATGTTTATTGTGTGACATGTTTCTCATGTAATAACCTTTGAAATATTATCATAATAATTGATCGGGTTCACTATCTGTGTCTAATGTAATAGTGTTTATTGTGTAAGATCCTGACAGCACTGTGAAGCCTGAGAAGGGGGAACAGATGAGGAGGAGAGCACTTTGACTCCAACTCTGGAATGTCTCTGGGCTTTCAACTGTGATACACAGTGACTGACAGATAAAGGATGCAACATTACCAGCATGGCCAGGGACAAGAGGAAACCAGTAACACAGGGCAAATACTAAAGACCAAGAACAGAGCAGAACAAGTCCTACCTGTCATTTTGATTATGTGGTGCTTTTGTTCAGTTATCTATACTTTAACAACTGTGCCTGGACTTGTGAATACCACAGGCAGAGGCAAATTAATAATTACCTAAATAGCAGAACTGCAGGAGCTGCTTTAAAGTAACAGTGGGCAAATGGTTTACTGCTTTATGGTTCCGCTATTAGAAGTCTTTGTTTGCAAAGTTGAAAGAATGCTCCTTGTTCAGATCAAATGTCTCACACTTCACTTAACCTCTCTGTGCTCTGGACTCTGTGAGGATCTCCTGGCAGTGGGCTATGGTGACCTTGACTCCAGGAACCACAAACCAGCTGGCTTTCATGTTTTAAGTACTTCATTGTAAACTAAGATTTGAAGACAAGTAACATGCAAGTTATCCTATAATACCCCTTAAAAATCTCAACTGACAAAGCAAAAAAAAAAAAACTCTGACTCAGCTGCTCCTGAACGTTTTTCCCCAAAAAGCATCTTTAAACCCAGTGGGAAAAACAATGTTTTATATTAAAAATATGTTCAAATGTCACCTTCAAAGTTAACTTAAGGTGTCAAACAAGCCCTTAGAGCCAAAAACCAAGACCAGCTAACTTTGTGTTAATGTCCATGGGCTTCATTTGCAAAAAAAAAAAAATGTCTGTAACAAGAGGGCAAAGATTCACACAGGCTGTAGTAAAACATGGTAACTATACACAGATGTTTTTGTGGTCTATGACTCTTTAAGGTCACTCATCCTTGTTGTTTAGAATTGCTTCAGTCAGCTCTTGTGCTGGCTTATATTAAAGCACAGTGAGCAATAACACGGGATGGGAAGATATAAATCCCGTGATGACAGGTCACAGACAGACCGTGTGGTTCTGTTGCACAGAGCTGCTGAAAGAGGAATAATGACTAAGAATTGTTCTTCTGTGAAGCTTCTGTAAGAGCTCCTGTCACTAAAAGTTTGGTTGAAATGTTTTTACAGTTGGTCTTGGTTTAGAACCCGCTGTAGTGAGTTCTTGTTTCACGCGCAGTGGGAAGTGAACGCGGATTTGAAAGTGACATGTGAAAGTGTCGGCCTTGACAAGCTGGAATCAGAGGATGCTTGGTATTTGTGCTTTAAAAATGACGTTAATGGTTGATGAATTTTCAAAATACGTGCCAATTAATTATCTTTTGATTGGCTAATCGATTAATGGACTAATCACTGATCAATCTACATAGCGGAACATAAAATGAGACAAATGCATGTGGATGCCAAGCAGTGATGTTGAACTTTGAGACACTAATAGTCCCGTGGTTATTACTCCTCTAGTAGCCACAGTCTGGATGGTTTCTCTTAAATGTCCGACTGCACCTTTAATGTCCCTGCATGCGCCTGGGGGTTTGGTTTGTCCAATTAGGTGGAGCCCAGGAGGAACAGCAGGTGAGCGACAACAGACACAGACACGTTTTTCCCCAGTTCCTGGACGTGGAGAAAACCGTGCGAAGTTTCATTTACAGTTTCTAAACGGTTGTAGAAAGTCAGTCAAAGGCAGCTGATAAAGTCTCATGGTGTTGGAGAAAGATTTCCCGATGATTGAAGTGTCGATACCATCGATAGAGAAGAAAGTGGATGAGTCGGGAAAGTCGAAGAAGGTGAGCACGCTGTTCAATCACTCCACTTCGCATGTTTCACTTTTATTGGCGGCATACAAACACTGTAACGTGTTATTACTTCGCAGTAGTGCGTTTCCACTTGATATAGGGCAACATGAACACATTGCATGTCCGCCTGTGAGACCAGGTCACCTGGAGAAAGAGTGGAAAGTAGGTCACCTCAGGCTGTCTGAGTTCTGTTCAGGGGAACAGTGTACTCGAATCCTTATAAAACTTTAAATATATTGACGGAGTCTTGAATTTTTTTGAAGCAAAAGTAAATGGGTTTAATAGTGGAAGTGTTATGGTTTAGTCCCCCTCACCAGGAGGTGACCCAGGTACTGCTTTATAAATGTCAGGGTTTACACAGCTGGTGAGAACTGGGGTTGGACTGAAGATGGCTGACCCAGGTACTATTACAAAAAAGGTGGTTTATTGGAATAAAAACATAACATAACAGGGTCCATAATACATACAACAAGGGAAGGGCAGTGATGACTAAGGAGACTAGGACGGTAAACACACAAACTAACGACAGGAACTAGGATAGCAAAGGATGAGAACGGACAGGTGAACAAAAAGAACCAACGTAAACAATGTAATCCACAGCACAGAGACTGTCAGCGTAGCATCTTACACACGTCTAAAAATGTGGGTCAACCACAACCTTTGTATAACTTACTTTAAGTATTGTACATTACATGTCGCAATGCTCCGACGGCGAGGGGGCGTCTGCCAGAGGTATAAATAAGGAAGCCAACAAATCAGCGGAATACGCCTCAGGTGTGCGCACCGACCCACGAGTCACTAATTACCCGATGCGACACAGCTGAGGCGTTGATCCCGCAAAAAGGGAGAGGAGAGCAGGAGAGGAAAAATAGAAAGAGGCAGGTCGCGCCGAGCGGACCTGACAGGAAGAGGATATCCAGATCATTTACTGGGTGAAACTAGCAGTTCCACCTCGAGTCACTGAAATGTAAAGTAGAAGTACGTGGCATAAAAATGAAAATGCTCTCAAGTATACAAGTACCTCACGTTTGACCTTCAGTAAATGTACTCTGCCACATTCAGTCATTAGTAGTTGGTGCTGAAGGCTGTTATGGTGCTGTGCAGTACATGTCCCCTCCTTTCCCTGAAGACACAACTAACACACACAGTGGGAACCACGTACCTCGGTGTATCCTGTACAAAAACTTATTAATGCAAAGAAAAGGGTCGAATTAAAGCTGCATTAAATAAGAGCACAGATTTGGATGGATCATAAAAAATTGTCTAGAAGTATTTTCTCCCTGCTTGAAATTGATTTGTCCTTAATCTTAAACCTTTAATTTGAATTTACTTTATTCCAGTTTTTTATTTTCCAAAAATAAAATTTACCAAACAGTGATACTTGAAGAGAAATCTGCATTAGAGTATTATTTGATTTTTATTTGAAACTACTGCATATACACCCTATAAAGGGAACTATTTTAAGTTGTGTTAATCTCTTCAGTTTACATTTCCTCTTTGTATTTGTCCCTTTTAATGGGATTAGGCCACACTGGAGAACTCTGTCCTTTTAAAAAGAATGAACCTGATGATTCGTTTTTGTCCTCATTTGGATCAACCTGGTAAACATTATGTCCAGTAAATGTGAATAGAGTGCGACTTGAGCGTCTGTTTTTGTCTCCTTGTGTGTTTTGTTTGCAGCTTTTCAGAGTTGAAGTCTTGTTTAATGAGAGGAAACACGATGTGCTCAAAAGAAGCAGCGAGTTCCAGACTCTCCACAGAAAAGTATGAACATGGAACTTGTTTATAGCCACAATAGTCATATGTAGCAGTGTATATCATGCTACTAGATGTATAATTTCTTTGTAACATAAAATTGTTTACATGGGTTCAGCTGATTTAAAATCACAAGGAAGTTTTATTTTTATGTTCTCCTGTATTTGCAAATCTATGTTTTGTGGTTTAAAACAAGGTAAGGAGTGTTCAGAAGTTCAGAAAAGCTATGAACATGAATTAAAAAAAAAATCAGTTCTTCAAATTGAACGTATTTCAACCACTGTGACAAAAATTTACAAAAACCAGTGTTTTGGGAAACTTTTTTGGGAGGTCAGTTCCCCAAAGGTTTCCACCAATTTCTATATGTGATATGAGAAAATTAAAGGTATATTTCAAAACAAGCAATTTTTGTTACCTGCAGCTCAGGAAGATCATTCGGACTCCGGATTTCCCAAGTAAAAGGAATCCCCATCTGAGGACCAAACCTGTGGAGCAGAGGAGGCAGGAGTTGGAAGATTACATCCAGGTAAAACATCCAGGTGACCACTCAGCAAGGTGCTAACCTCTTCAGACACTCACGACGAGCTTCTGTCCTTGTGCAAGTCATATTTTAGGGATTCCTTGAGATCATTTCAGTTTTGTCGGGGTGATACTGTGTCACCAACAGTGACTTTTGGCCTCACTCAAGCAAGTGAGCGGGAAACTTGATTTATGTATACACACCTTTTAAAAGCAGTTCTAAAGCCCATTACAGGAATTTGGTATTAGCTGTTAGTTACTGGAACTGTTCCAAGAAAGGCCAGTCTCACAGTTTGATGCTGAGTATGTAGAAAACGTTAGTACAGTACCTGCTTGTTATATGTGAGACAGGGAGTTTTATAGGAGGTAAAAGAAAATAACTTAATAGACAGATGTCATTAACCATCAGATTCCTAAAAAGACTGATATGACAAACAAACAGATTCAGCATTGGGTACATTTTCTAATGAAGAATTTTTGTTTTTCTAGAGACTGATGTTAGTTTATGAACTATTGTACACACACCTACTAAAATCATTTCACATAACTTATTTTTTCTTAAAAGCGCCAGCATAAAGACCGGTTCCTTAATAACTGAAGCAAATAACACATCCTTCATTTCCTTTGTCATTAGTACCAAATTGCCTCATTTTTTTTGGAAATTATAAGGAAAATCTCCAAGAAATTAGCTGGAAAATATGGGACTCATGAAATAAAATAAGTAGCACTGAACAAAAGATTTGACATGGAGCTCAAAATTTATCCAAAGTAATCATGCGATTTAGAAAGCACTGATGGGGTCAAAGGTCATGTTGCATCAGTAACAAAATATTTTGTCATGTTGCTCTGCCTAGCAAATGTGTCAGAGGTGTGTGATTGGCAAGCCACTTCACAGTCTTGGCATTACTGTAATCTTTTTTTTTTTTTAAATGTCAGGGTTTGTTTTGTCGCTTTTTGCCAGGAGATCATCTGTCAAAATGAAGATGTGCCACAGGTGCTGCTGGACTTCCTCCACGTTAAACACTTTCACACGGGGAACAAGATGAGCAGTATGGAGTAAGTCCTTCAGTCCTCACTCTGACTGCACCCACAGATGTTGTATTTAGGTCCTCTATTTTTGGACTGGGGGCAATGCAGCAACATAATAAAACTTCAGCTACATCTCTCATAGTGGTGTGAAGCAGCAGCACTGGCTCTAAGCCACAGTATAGTTGAAGAATTTTTTCAGTGTTATTTTAAAACTGGCTCACATTCTTTGCTACATAACAAATGTAAGTTTGATCTTGTAAACACTAACTTTTATTTTGATAGTGTCCTTGCCAGTAATCTACTAGTTGTATGCTTTAATTTCAGGTCACTTGAACTGGACAGTCAAGATTACAGGTAAGGGCATTCAGTGTCTATTTTCTCACTAACTGTTTGGTACAGTGACAACATTTGTCGGCAGTGGACGTGTGTGAACATGTCAGGATTTCGAAGTCAAATTTCCCACTGCCACATGAACCTTATGGGAAAGCAGTAATTTATCACATTTACTCCCTGGGTTGGATATCTTGTCTACTAGGGTTGAAGGATATCCCGTCAATTTTTATTGCTTCCTGGGTGGGATTTCTTAACATTTAAATAGATTTTAAACCCATTAGTGTGGCTAAATAATTGATTTTAATTCAGGTTTTCTTTGTTGGTGGTGGTGGCTTTATATTTCAAAGTTTATGTTGAATCTTGACTCTGTCTGTACATTATGTCTGGTGATAGTTACAGGTGTTAATTAATGTTTCTCAGATGATTCAATTGGTATATAATGTGTTTATCCAGACTGCTTTGCGATTTGCCTTTCATTCACCCGTTCACATCCACAAACAGCAGCAGGCTACCACACAAATTGCTGACCTGAGCAATTTGAGGGCAATGTGAGGTTCTGTCTCTTGACCTTGACCTGTGGGAAGGAAGAGTTGGAGATTGAACCGTGATCAGTGGATGGACCCCTCTAGCTCCCGAGCAACAGCTGCTCAAGTTCATAGTTCCTTACAGTTAATGATATGAACAGGAACAAGCCTGTATCTGTCTGACAGCACCAAACCTCCTGATGTTGATTTTGACATAGCCAAGCTAAACCAGAATGGGCACATACAAAACACATGGTGCACTACTGCAGTCACATAAATGGATAAATGCTTTGTTACACTTGAAGAATAGTAGTAGTATACAAACATAATTACTAGTGCATGAAAAAAATTGATGATATTCTGCTTTTGTTTCCTCAGTTACCAGTTATCACATAAGAAGGTGGTTGGATATTTTCAGGATCCATATCTCTGCGACTGTACATCAGGTGGGTAGAACAGATTATTGGTACATCTTGAAATATTTTCAGCTTGGAAAAAGCACTTAAAAATTGTTATTGACTGTACTTTTGTTATTTTTGTGTGCATTTTGTTGTTTAATGTTGTATTTTGAATTGAACTGTCATGACTGACATGCTCTTTATAAGAGCATGCCAGTCTGAACATACTGCATACAACGTGAGCTCTGTCCTGTAGGTCTTCCAGATGTTGTTGTGGACGGAGTTCTTCAAGGTTTTTACCCGCGGGACATCCGGGTCAGCTTCACTGTCTCCACTCTTACCGAGACTGACCCCACCACTTCTATAGACGCCTAAAATGACTGTTTATACGATTTACTGTAAGAGGATGGAACTAGCATTACACAAAAGACTTGGTTTTTGTTTGACATCAGTGGGATTTAACCACATCACCCAGCCTTTGTCATGTAATGCTCCCCCCACTGTGCTGACAGCAATGTGAAGATCTCTGATTGTTTTTTAGCCATGGAGGTGTCATAATTTTTTATTTTTTATTTAGTTGTGACATTAAGTTTTTAGCCATAAGCAAATATGAACTGAGTGAAATGCATGCTTTTGTTCATTGTAATGATAATTTTTTAGTAAAGATGTAGTGATGGAGTTCTAAACCATGTGTAAAATTTAAGAGACAGACACTGATTACTTATTCTTTGTTTACCAGTTTAGTTTGTCAAATTAACAGGCTGTCAAACAGAGCTGTTTGGGTGTGGGACAAACAAAATTATGAGTCCTATTAATTGAGGTTGTATGCTTTTTTTACCTCATCACTTTTTTGTGATGAAATTATGCAGATGCACTAGGACTGATACAAATCGAAGATTAACACAGCCTTAAATGTCTTCAGCCAAATACTGATGCTGAGGCTATGATACTTTATATTTTGAAGCCTTCTTTTAGTGTAACTAAATTAGAATTAGCATATACTGTGTGTAGTTTTTTTTTACTTTATTGAAATTGTAATAAAAAATCAAACAGGACTCATCCTGGATGAATTCTCCATAAACCTAAACTGCAGAAAAAGAAAATTATGTTCTTCTGTTTGATAAGCTGATGGTCAGACAAGACAGTGTTTGGACACTTAACACACATTTACAATATTATGTTGTAGGCCAACGATGAGGCAGCCAGTTCGGGAATAGTCCTGTTTATAATCACAGTTAGTTACCACAGTTGGTGAGAAGCTTACAGGCCTAATAATTTGAACGACGTTCATATTTGTTATTTCACTTTGTATATTTATTAAAAATCAAAGCTAAAATTTCTAATTTTTAAAGATATTCAGACCTTTACTTCAGTAATTTGTAGAAGCTACTTAGGCAAGAATGAACGTTTTGAGTCACCTGGAGTAAGTCTTTATAACCTTTACACAATTAAATTTATCCCAATCTTCCAGACAGATCAAATGCTATTGAAGGTGTCAGTGTCCTGTTAAGCTGCCATGCCTCACCTCCTCCACTGATTAAATAATTTACAAGCAGCAACAAGCAGTTCAGACACACTTACTAGTCTGAAGGAGAAAATACAGAAAGAATGGGTTTGAGTCTTTATGTCATGTAATTGTGGTTTACTGGTGTCTAATTGGTCTCCACTTTGTTGAAATTCAAGACCTGGTTGAACCTATTCACTCAGAATACATAAAGAGAACAAAATTAAGCCCATCATTAAATGAGAAGCTTGATATAGTACAGACAGATTAGGAGTCAGTGGGCCCCCCTCCATCCCTCATTTGTGGTTGTTTTGTGGCTCTGTACTTGTTTCTTCTTCTATTTGTGGTTATTATGAGTGTCCTTGTGGTAGTTTTGTGTCAGTTCCTGAGCCCCTTCAGTAATCCATCCATGCACCCTCACGTCTGTACAGAAAAATTAGGCTACACTCATTAGCCTTCAGCTTAAATGAGTATAAAGACTGGAAACGGAGCAGTATGCTAACCACCACAACAAAAGCTCAATCAACACATTATTTATTATTGAATTTGACAAAGAATTGTAAAAAAGTTTATTTATGGAGGTTAGGCTCAGATTGTGTGAAAATAAGTTTGTACAGTGTGTTTGACTACTTTGGGAATCACTTTGTGAACACCCACATTGGGATAGGAAACGGGGAAGGAAGAAGTTAACCCTCATATGCTCTGGCCTGTCTGCACCATGCGGCGTGTGTCGGCGCATGCGCGGAGCGGGCAGCGGAAGCCACTCCCTCCTCTGTCCTTATTACAGCCATGCTGTGTGCTGGCGGTCTCTGCACCTTTGTCAGTCATTGGTGCTCCTTCGATGACTCGTACTGACTCACCTCGTCACCTGCTTGTTTCCCCGCCGCCGGCATTTAGCAGAATAAATCCTCTGTATGTGAAGGACCAGGAAACCGAATCCTCTTCCTGCTTGAGTAACTAGAAGCCTACACATTATCGGTACGTGCCACTGATAACTATGAAGCTACTTCTGTTTTATCAGAAGCTGTTAATAAGCTGGGATGTATAACGTTACAGTGCAGAAAGTGTTTGGCTGCCAGTTTTTAAATTAGATTGCTCGCTAAGCCGAGTTACTGTCAGATTAGCTTTGATCAACTCTAGCCAAAGATATAGCTTGTGTTAGCATGTTAGCTAACATTAAGTGTGTCTACGTTAGCAGTAACTTCACCCCTGTAACATATAGTACTGGTATAGGTGCAGCTTCAAGGGCAGAGCAGCTCACTGGGTTATTATGGCTCAGGTACTGTACAAAATGTAAACCTACACTGTCATCCAGGTGTAAATGGGCAGCTCCTCAACTGAAACTAAAAGACAAGTTGAAACGGGTTTATCTACAAGAGAAATTCATTATGCTGTGCTCTGACAAAAAGAAAAGAATAGACATCCTACATTTCTCCATCATTTACATAATATATGCAGTGTAAAAGCTTTAGGCACTAAAAGTGAACTGAGGATGCTTTCAGAAATAACGTCATGAACGATTTTTAATGTCATGCAAAGTCCAAAGCAGATCACTTTCAGGTGTCAGGCTATAATTCTTCAGAGCTCCACAATAAGGAACACTGTTTTCCAATCCTAACCTACCCTTAACACAAAGCATCCCTGAATCCTATCCTTACCCAAGCAAAGTGCAGCTATATGAAGTGGCATACAGTATCTGTATTGTATTTGCTCAGGTTAAGCAGTGGCTAGCCCAGCCGGCTTGGAACAAGATGCATCAGGATCTTGGTGGCACCACCTCTGCTTAACACTTTCCTGTTATTTAATCTAGGGCTGCAGCTAATGAGTGTTGTCTTTATTAGTTCATCTGTCAACTATAAAGTGAGCAGTTTTGTTTTCTGCTGTTGCAGGAGTGTTTGGGAGCATCATGTGGAGGAAGGCTTCAGCAGCAGCCCTGCTTGCATTAGCTGTTGGCTATTTCTACCATGGCAGCCCAGACCTGCCAGAGCAGATTCTGCAGTATATCAGCCTGCCAAGCTTCCAGTCCTCATCCGAGGGTACGGCTGGTCAGAGCAGTCTGGAGCGGGTGATCTCTTCTGCCTGGGAGAGACTGATAACTTTACCAAGCCGACAGTGGAGCAAAGTGGCAGTAGGGTGAGTTACAGAGATGAACTGTGAGGTATAAGTATCTTTCCTCTGAAATCAATATTTATTACTGCAGTTGTGCACTTGCTCCTTCTGCTGTACGCTGTGGCATGTTGAGAGGCTGCAATCAGCTCTGCTAGTGAGAAGGAATGTGTTATAGTGGTTCAAGAATGTGGTTCCCCAGTGAATTCTGTTACTGTCTGTACTCGCCCTATAGAGAGGTCTCCGAGTGGCATAATCAGTGAGATGCACGTGCAGGAATTGGGTAGAAAATGACCCAAAATGGCTGAGATTTGATGAGGAAATGGCCTTTTAACAGCTGCTCACATCTTTAATTTTGGTAGCTTAGTCTGAATATCAGGCTACAAGCTGATGTTTAAAATTTGTATATATTTGCAGGATTGTTTGATTCAAATATTTAATAATGATTTGTTATTAACTATGACATAACGTGTTTGTAGTATTTCTCATTATTCCCCCTGCCTTTCAGGGTGAATGCCTGCATTGACGTGGTCGTCTCTGGAGTGGGACTGCTGCAGGCTCTGGCTGTGGATCCTGGCACTGGCCAGGATCACGAAGTGTTGCACTCCAAAGAGGACTTAAAGGAAGCCTTCATCCATTTCATGGGACGTGGAGCAGCTGCTGAGCGTTTCTTCAGCGACAAGGAGGTCTTCCAGTGGATTGCACGTGCAGCAGCAGAGTACCCCGGTGCCAAGGCAAGGCTACTTTACTCCCCAGACTTTGTCAGAGGCTGATTTACTTTTGGTTATTAGGCTGTTTGTTTAAATGACCTTTGACTTTTTTCCTACCTTTTTCTTTTTCCAGCTGTATGTGGGAGGGAACGCTGCCCTCATTGCTCAGAAACTTGCCACCTACCCTGATCTGATGGTACAGTAGCGTCTTTATAATTTTGTCATCAACTCTTGCACTTAACCCAAACTAATGAGCTTTTACATATTTCTTGAGCCTGTTTAAAATGCAGTTGCATTAATGAACTGACATGCACAAGATTATGATGTATTGACACAGGACTTTGTTACGACTCTCAAAATCACAGTATCAATTTTTAATTAATAGTTCACATGCCAAGTTGTGCTGTGTGTAAACTTTTCTGCAGGAGATTGTACACATTTGGTGGTGTATTACTTATTTTATGACATTTTTTCTAAAATTGGTTTTAAAAAATTCCACTATATCACCTTGTTTACAGTATTACAGTATATCGACTCATAACCCCCTGTAGTGTGACACATATTGTATCTGCAGATTCTTGCCAATACACAGGCCTACTGGACAGTAAACATGTGAATGATGTATTCCTTCCATGTACAGATGTCTGGAGAACAAGTGTGTGAGTTAAAAAGGTGCTGTCTAAGCACAGTATTATAGTGTAATTCTGAATCCCTGGATTTCAGATATAATTCTGCTAATGTAAAAATATTTTGAAGATCTTATAAAGTACAGTTTCTGTCAAAATCTCACTACTCAACAGTAAACAATTCCCAGAATCAGCTTTATTGGTCAGGTGTGTTGAACACACAAGAAATTTGACTCTCATTGTGCATGTGCAGTGTTCTTCCGTAAGGCAACGAGTAAACAAGGTGCAAAAATAATAATACAACCTGACAAATGCAGGGTGGCATTTGAAGACAAAAGAATTATGTTTCCTCCAGACAGTCCAGTGTGACTCTTTCATCATGCTGCAGGTTTTACTATGTGGGCCGGTGGGTCCTAAACTTCACGAGATGCTGGATGTACAGATAGTTGTCCCTCCAGGTTCCCTCCAGGAGACGGATGAATATCACCTCATCCTGGAGTATAAATCAGGTAAAGAGCAGATCAAGTTGCAGCTTCTGCAGAATCTGTTGCACTTAACAAGGTCAACATGTGAAAGCCTTCTTCTCTGTCTAGGTGAACAGTGGGGTTCAACTCAGGCACCTCAAGCCAACCGTTTCATCTTCTCTCACGACGTATCCAATGGGGAGATGAGTTCACTAGAGACGTTTGTGGCGAGCCTGGAGGAGTTTCAGCCAGACCTGGTCGTCCTGTCAGGGCTCCACATGATGGAGGGTCAGGGCAGAGAGCTCTGGGAGGAGCGGCTCAAAGAGGTCAGTGGCTAAAGCCTGTGTTTTGCAATATCTTCACCTTTGTTTTAATCAATAAAGCTGCATGTTGTGGCCCTTTCACTGCAAGTCATACATATTGTAATATCATATGTTACCACTGACCCTTTTTGTATTTATTTCTTTGTGCTTTCTAGTCAGTATATTATTTTTTTTTTTTTACTGTATCACTGCAGACACTGTCTGCTTTTATTGAGCTGTGGTAATGTAGTGTTAAGTAAAGGTGATGACTTACCCATCTTTTGTGCTAAAGTAAAAGATAACGTCTCTCAATTGGAAAACTAGTAGAATGTCAACTCTGGTGTGATCCTTTAAAATGTCCCTACTTTTATTTAAGAGGATTCTTCAGTTCAGAGCAATTAAAAATCATTATCCCACTTCATTGTTAACAGTATGTCCATTGTAATGTTGCATGATTCAGGGTATAAAGCTAAAGTGTAATTATCACATACGTTTTATTGTTCTTCACAATACGCATGCATGTCTGGAGCTCAGATTATATCAATTATAGGGAAGCTTGTCTAACATCTTGTACTTGCATCGTGTTCGCAGGCAGTGTCGGCCATATCTGAAATTCGTAAAGACATTCCCATCCACCTGGAGCTGGCAAGCATGACCGACAAAGACTACATGAACAGCATCATGCAGGAGGTTCATGTGGAAGACATTTGTCTTAGTCTTTCATGTAACCAAACCAGTTCTGTATATTTAATTAAAGTTTTTCCCTCTGTTTCTTGTTAGCAGGTTATGCCTATTGTCAGCTCCATTGGGCTGAATGAGCAGGAGCTGCTCTTCCTCTCTCAGGCTGGTCAGGGGCCTCACGCAGACTTGGCTGCCTGGAAAGGCATCCCAGATGTGAGCCAGGTCAGTGACATCCTCTTCTGGGTCTTGGAGCAGTACGGCCGCAGTGACCCATTGTCAGAGGCAGACTTTACACGCATTCACTTCCACACGCTGGCCTACCACATCCTGGCTACAGTGGATGGATACTGGGGGAACCAGGCGGCAGCAGTGATGGCTGGAGCACGAGTGGCCAGCAGCCAGGCCTGTGGCCTAGATTCGGTTGATGTTAGCAAAGTGGAGCTCAAAGCCCCACTAGAGTTTTACAGCTCACACACTGAGCCACGAGAGAAGTTGTCCCTGAACCCTGCAAAGCCAGTTATTGTGTGGCGTCGTGGAAATATCACCTTCCACTTCACACCAGTGCTGGTCTGCAAACAGCCGCTTCGGACAGTTGGGCTTGGGGATGCCATCTCATCAGAGGGATTAGTTTACTCAGAGTTAAAGACCCAGCTGCCCTTCTGAGATGTACAGTACTTCAGTCTGACACTTGAAACGTTGATGGGAAGTGCTGCAAAGACCCAGTGACGTTTCACCTGCAGCTGTTGTTGGAGCCATGTTTCTGAACCAGGTTCTGTCTTCTTTCCCAAAGGCCCTCTGTGTTTAAGAATTGATCGATGGCATCAGTTTTAAATCTTGCCTGATCACTCCTCCAGCCTGCTTCAGTGTCCGTAGCCCTCTAACCTGTAATCCTCCAGTAGACACGAAAAATGAGGACCTGGATCTTATCAGGCGGTGAGGTGACCTGACTCCATGGACTGGGTGCAGCTCAAAGCCATCTTCACAAACTGCAAAGAGCTTTTTTGGCTCGCCTAATATACTTTGACCTGCATATCTTCAGTATGCTGTGCCTTGAGAAAGTAAAATAATTTAAAAGTTATTAAATATTTTATTCAAATTTGAGAGCCAAACAAACATAAATTTAAGCTTCACTTCAGTTACACTCCTGATAGATATATATATAATATACACACACACACACAAATAATTGTGTTTGACTGGAAACTGATGATGTCTTACTATACAGTAGAATCTAAATGGAATTATTGATGATGACCTTTTGGTGCATTCATGTCAGACACACTTAATTATCCCATGACTGTCAGACATCTTTACATGTAATAACTGTTATCTAAATATACTTGACATTTTTGTTACTTGTCCTGAGGGATAAAAATACTAGAGAGTGTGAAAGAGTTTGTGTTTTCTTGGGGTTTGACCTGAACACCCCCACGATCAAGATGTTTTAGTTTGGAAATTTTATAGCAGAAACAACTGTTACTGTATCCTCTCTGTTGCTTGTACATTTTTAAAATCCTGACACAATTATTCATTTTTGATTTAAATAATGAAATGTTACACTTATAAATGTGTATTTTAAACATGGTTTTGAAGGGGATCATTGTAGTAGATCATGCCGGAGCTCAGTTTATGGTAAGATGCCGGCTAGATTCGTTTGCCTGTAAATTAAGTTAAAAGTAAAATAAAATTTGAACATGTCCTGTAGGTCATATGTAATCAGGGTTACTGCACATGTTGGTTTGCTTCATGTTTTGTTTTCTTTTCAGGTATTGGTTTCCTTTACTCTTAAAATGTGATTATAGAACATGATTGGCTGGAAATCCAAAAAGCTGTCAGTATAACAAACTGCAAGAGAAGCTTCCAGATTTAAATTCTAGCATATTTGTCAGCTATGCTTTTTCATAGGTTTTTGTTAATTTTTGTGAACAATTGCGCCTGCTTCATCTTAGATGTATTGTATGTAACCATCAGAACAATGTTTGTATACCTCAAATGGCCACTGAAGGCAATACCGATGGAGTCTTAATGCAAAAGTACAACAAAGATGTGTGGCATTTTGTTGAACAGAATTGATTCTTTGCACTAGTAAGAAGGGGGAGGTGTGCCTGCAAAGGTGACTGTAATGTCAACTCTGAACTCCTGTTATTTTTAGCAAGTACAATCTATTCCACTTAACTCTTTATTTTTTTAACATTTATAACTGTCAGCAATTTTCAGTTACTTGTAGTTTGTCATTAAAATGTATATGGTTGGCTCTGTTTGGCTTAATTGTGGTGATGGTGACTAAGGTGCGTATTTATTAATGTTAAGTATTACATGGTTAAGAAGTAAGGCTATAAATAAGACAAGTGTTTTTGATTACTAAATTACTTTAGTGCCATTTTATACATATGGCCCACTCATTGAAACAATTTTGGAACAATGCATTTTATAAAATAATTTCAGTAGTTAAAAGGATCCCAAATCAGGTCAGAGAGGTTTGTGGTGTGACAGAAAACTCTTGTGCTGTAAATGGTAAGCTGTTTTAGTCCTAACATTACATTACTTTAAAGGGAATAATCAAGATTTTATTGATCCCTTGTTGAAAATATGCAAGGTGCCCAAGAAGAATACAAATTATAAGCATATAAGGTAAGTCAGATTAGTTCCACCTTTACCAGCTACAACATTAAGTGTGATGATCACAATAATGTACCAATAATAATAGTAATTTAAAAATATACATTAATGTGAAATGTGCCATTATGCATAGTGAGTACTTTTACTTTTGGTAATGATGTTAATAGGCTACTTTTATACTTTTACTCAGGTAGCATTTTGAATGCAGGACCGTTACTTGTAACAGAGTATTTTTATTTTTGCTACCTTTGGGCTAAGTAAACAGTCTGAGTACTTCTACCACTGGGGACGGATGAGACGATATAAACACATCCTTTGTTTGACAGAACTGTTACACGTTTGCATGTGATTGGCTGAAACGCTCTAGTACGTGAACCAATCAGAGCTCAGTGCGTCTCTGCCGTGTTGACGTCCGCACCTCGGATACCACACTCCTTCCCCTCGGTTCATAGAGGTAGCACGACTAATAGCCGTCATCTCGGAGTGCTCATTTCTTCTTATTGATGGTTAGATTGTGTGAGAGAAGGATGAAGCTGCTTGTAGCTATTACGGTCATTATGGGATCTCTGATTTTTCTCGCTTTCCCAAATGGCTCATCCGCTGACGAGAAGAAGAAAGGTCCCAAAGTGACTGCTAAGGTAGGTGTTCGCTGGCCGGCTCGCTAGCTAGCTAGCATGCTAGTGGGTTATCCAGAAAAATCAGTGCTTCCCTCTGGCTAACCGTTTATGCTAACAGCTGGTAAAGCCACGTCACTTGCAAGGTAGCCTCTAGCTTAGCCGGCCATCTTTTCCAAAAGCCAAGCTGCTTTATCAAGCAAACCTTAGCTAGCAAAAGGCTAACACGAAGTAGCTAAGTGTTGCAGTAAAAGTATTTAACGTTATTGTATTAATTTGTGCGCGTAAAGAGTTTAGCAAGTTCTGCAGCATTAGCATATCAAACTGAATCACATTTACACAACATAGCTCCTGGCGTATCTCAGTCGAGCTAGCCTTTATAGTCCAGGACATCGGCCTCGACGCCAACTACCGGTATTCCCCAGTGCAGAAATGATAAATTGCTCCGCATTAATGTAAGCTTTGATTAACGTTGCAGGGTTAATCTAAAGAGGAGTTCCTCCTTAAGATAACCTACTTTGCTGAAGCTCAGGGAGCCTCTGCATGTGTTATTGTCTGGGTGCAGACGGTTTGTCCACGTCTGCAGTTACAAGGACTGTTCGAGCTGGTCCTGGTATGTGGATCTTAAATTAACTGTGTGTCTGTTTTTAAGTTGGTTAACCCATTTATTCATCCTTTCTTATGCTACTTATCAAAGTTCATCATTGGTAACCCATAGTAACCTCCTGACACTTTTTTAATTGATATCTTTTAAGACATTTATCATGATGGCATAATGTCTTAAATTTAATTTGGAGAACCTGCAGAAACCCCGTGGTCAATAGCTAACATGGAGTCTTTGTTTCATATTGTTCAGAAAGACTGTTGCGGATAAACCAAATCTGTCATTTCAAATGCACATCTGTTGCCTACAGATAATTTGTTGTACTGCAAATTGTCAGTGAGCCAGTTGGAAAATCATGTTTGTTTGAAACTTTGTTGCTTTGTGTGTTTAATTTCTGAGAAAAAAATGTTCACAATAGAGTTTGATTTATGCATTCAGACATTTTATAGGCAAAACGATTTATCTGGAGAATAACTGGCTGAGTAATTGATAATGAAAATAATCCATAGTTGCAGCCCTGTAAAGGACGAATGTCCTAAAATGCTTGTAAAACACTGGGTGAAAATGGACTGTACATCAGTAAAACCTATTTAAAGATCCTTTACCCTCTGTCAATTCATCTGTTTTTGATCTTTAAAAAAAAAACCCACAAAAAATTGAAAAAGTTCTCTTTGAATCATCATGGGAGATATTGGAGTGTAAAGTAATGTCATAACTTGATGTCTTTTGTAGGTGTTCTTTGACATTAGAATCGGAGATGAAGATGTTGGAAGGGTTGTCATCGGAGTGTTTGGGAAAACCGTCCCCAAAACAGTTGACAACTTTGTTGCTCTGGCAACAGGAGAGGTGAGACATTCAGTCTTTTCGTCTGTTTGTCACACAGTTTGTGCATAATGTAACACCAGTCTGCAGTGATGTGTATTTGCTCAGTCCTCACCAGATTCAATACTAACTTTAAATTAACTGGGGGTCAAAATCATTGCAACATCTATTTGTTTTTATATAGTAACAGGGCATAGAAGGTTCAGTGGGTACTGAGGGCAAACTGGCCCAGACAATTTATTTTTGACTTGTGGTCATTCTTGTTCACTCTCACAGATCAGCATTTCCTGTAGACACTTTTGAATAAGTCATTTGAATTTCATTTACATGGTGTAAAATGGCAAACAATGGCAGCTGATATCCTTGATAGTTTTCATGTGTTATTTATATTGTTTGGTTTTAAATGAACAGAAAGGGTTCGGTTACAAGGGCAGTAAATTCCACAGAGTCATCAAGGACTTCATGATCCAGGGTGGAGACTTCACCAGAGGAGACGGCACTGGAGGTAAAATGGGCACTGACATTTTTACCTTGCCTTTGAACTGATTTATAAAAAAAAACTTTTCTGCAGTAATAAACATTGCACAGGATTATCTGCATCAGCGCTGTCCTGAACATTTATTGATTTTGACTCTAATATTTTACCAATAGCAGTTTAGCTGTGAAAAGCGTCAGGAATGTGTCGAATTTTCAGTGTCCACTTTTGCTATAACTGGGTTATTTCCATTCAGTTCAGATTTACTACAAACTCCTGAGGGTTTAGTGAACTCAGGATTTATCCTGTTGCTTTATGAATTTATGACCCAGGACAAAAACCGGTTTCCCAGTAGGCGTTGAACATTACCTTTTTATATTTTGCATCAAGAGCTCTTTCACAAGTGCCACTTTGTCACTTCATGATGATGCTCTTAGAGTACATTTGGCAGACGCTCTCATTCAGTGACTCGCTGCTGTTCAGTATTCACACATAAGCAAATGCCAGCAGATGGGGGAAAAAAGACATTTGGCAGAAATCAAGTCAGAGAAGTGAGGTTGTTACCAGGAGGGAATAAGCTAATTGTGCTACAAATCTTCATCTCCTCTTGAAGGCAAGAGCATCTATGGAGACCGTTTCCCTGATGAGAACTTCAAGCTGAAGCACTACGGTGCCGGCTGGCTCAGCATGGCCAATGCTGGCAAAGACACCAACGGTTCCCAGTTCTTCATTACCACAGTCCAGACTCCATGGCTGGACGGCAAACACGTCGTCTTTGGAAAAATTCTGGAGGGAATGGTGAGTGTCAGGCCTGTCGGTCACATACATAGATTACTGTCTAAGGTACAAATAGGGGGGAAGTTAAAGAAGCCAATCTGATAGGGTCTAGCTTGCTGCCAGCTCAGACATCCCTGTAGTGTTTTTGAAATCCTAAAAATCACAATTTCAGACTACAGTTAAATAGACCATAGTTTCCTGCACTCTACCCTCATTGTTCAGTAGTGATCAAGCAAAGGAAGTGTTTAAAATTCACAACTTTTTAAATGAGATTTTGTCATTGCTGAAACATTCTATCTTTTTTTTTTTTTTTTTTTTTCTCCTTCTTCTTCCAGGATGTGGTGAAGAAGATCGAGAGCACTAAGACAGATGGTCGTGATAAGCCTCTTAAAGATGTCACCATCCACGACTGTGGCAAAATTGAGGTGGAGAAACCATTTGCAGTGGCCAAGGAGTAGAGCACTGCTGAGGAAGAACAGGGTAAATAGGGACTGGTGGGTGTTGGAAATCATGCAGACCACCTTGTTTTATCACAAGTAGCACCGTGGTCCTGGTGAAGGGGCTTTGGGTCAGTGGCTGCCGTCTTAAAGCACCAGAAGAGCGTAAGTCTCGAGCATTTGTAACAACGCTTTGGGTCCATTTTACCAACAAGCATTCCAAGGTGCACTTAATTGTTTGGTTATTTTGTAAAAAAAAGAAATCTGAAATAAAGGTTTCATGTTTTGTTAAATTGTTGTGTGAATTTTATTACTGTGAGTGTGTTACACTGAGATACAAACTGAGATCTTTTTTTTTCTGTTTTTCACTGGGATAAAATAAGTTGTACCAAATAAGCTGCTACAATCCCTGACGACTATCACTGAACTACCTTGGTCCTAAGAAATCTTAAAAACCTGATGATTCTCAGGGATGTTGTGAAGCGATTCAGTTCCTGTCCAACTAGTGTACTTTATCTCAGATACATTTTTTTCATGAGATTATGCAGTCTTTTCTTGTTATAACATTTTTTGTGTCAATATAAAAGTTACAAATTTACTACAAATAAAGATCCTGCATTCAAAATCCTATTAAAACAAGAGCACTCGTAGTGCGCATGTGCCTCAGCCAAGGCGTAACATTTACCAATCCAAATCCTTGATCTGGATTTTTTTTTTTTTATGGACTGATAGGCAGTTAAACTGCCCCTACCTGAACATTTCAAGGTTCCATCTTCATCATAGGCAGAAAATATGCTTTAAAAGGTGGTTTCAGTGTTCACTTTAAGTGGCTGTCAGATCCAGATGAAATGTGGTGACGTTGCCACCCTACATATTTCAATTATATGATTTCGATAACTTGACAGATATGAATTATTTAAATTTTGCCCCATGTTGAAGATGGCGATTCTGTGAAATTTTTTGTGACCTTGACCTTTGACCTTTTTCATCCAAAATTTAATAATTTCTAAGGTTGGTCCACACCAGTGACTGTACAAAGTAGGCTTATGATCCATCCAGCTGTTTGTCTATAACCCTGCTAACCGGTAAACATACAAAACCAAAAACATAACCTCCCTGGCAGAAGTAATAAAAGTATCATCTTATAAAAGCATTTGGAGTACAAAGTAAAAATACAGAAAAGAGAAATACTCAAAATGCAAGTACCTCAACCTGTTCTTGATTAAATGCAATCACTGACTTTCCACCACTGGTGTTGGCTTCACCTTTTATAGCTGAAGAATTTCAGTTTGTTAAGCTGTATTTGATGATTTATTCAGACAGAATCTGTGGATGTTTAGTGTTAAAAACTGGATTTTATGAGTTGTGAGAACCCTGAAGTCTGCATCTTTTTTGTATCAACTCACAATTAGAGGCAATTCTTCCTGTGACCACTAAGGGTGCTGTTTCCCTTTTGGAAACACAAGTTTCAATTTGTCTCCACACTTGGTGTTGAAGGTCAACAGATCAGATGGCACCAACTCACTGTATGTGCAAAAAATGGTTTATTTTTTAATACATTTCCATTAAAGTATCAAGTGATTTAAAAATAAAAGAATAATTTGCGGATTGGACTAAAGAGGGCACCCTCACACAGCTCCTCAGCAGACCCACAGGCATTCCCTGGTTGTGGTTTCACATGTGATTTTACCGCAGTAAAATGAGGAATTGTACATTTTTGTTGACTTTCCACTTGTTTGTTTCACTTCTACCACACATTACCACTGGAGACAGAAAGCAGTTTAAATAAGAATCATCACAATTAGTTTTGGCCTCTGCTGTCCTGTTTTTGTCCACAACAGCATGGTTAATGTTACCAATCATAGAAAAGAATGTGGACTTTAGAAATGCACCTTCCTGTGATTGTCTAATCTTCTTGATGCTCTCGGGCTTATTCTAAAATCTGTACGGTACGTTCTACTGGGCTGGTTGTTTTGTCTGACTGGGTTATACTGAATATTCACCTGGTTTGCACTAGTTTCCAGATAAGATTGATCTGCTTTTTCATACTAAATAAGCATTACAATATATTATAGAATGGCAGAGTGAACTGCATCAATAAAATGTTTGTCATTGTGCATAAACAGTGCACAGCATAATTTGTGGGTGCTGCTAAAGTATATTAGCCATGTGAGAAAAATACTATCTCTGTAAGATAATCAGGGACATAAATATTCCTTTGGATTTTAATAAGCTGTTATGACATAAAAGCTATAATGTTTTCAGTAGTTTACAGCTACCCTGTTTAGCTCTAGGCCACATCAAATGTTCAGGATTCCTCCCCCACACCCCTGATACTAACTGATGTAATTTGGTGTAATTGATTCCAATGTGGCCATTTTTAGAAGTAGTGTCTGGAAACATAGAGGCCATGGGAACAGTTGTGGGCGAGGGAATGTGTTCATAAATGTTTGTCCAGGCCTTGCCATTGTATCCTGAGTCTAGCACCCAAATAGGAAGGTTACATTTCTATTATAGAAACTCAGTGGTCGGAATATCCAAATCGAGCAGTTTCAAGCAGTTTTACTACTATTTAATAAAATTATCTGCTGGTCCTGCTAAATAAAGTAGGTGAAGGAGGAGGAGAAGGGCAGCACAGTGTGGAGCCAAGGGCAGAAACAAACAAAACTCCCACAATAGCAATATACCACTCACCAAATAAGTGACCACCCAAGTACTCTCCACTCACCACCTCACATTTTTTGTAATGTATGTTTTATTTTGCAGTTTGGATCTCTGCGGTCCTTGTTTTGCCCAGATTCACCCAGGCATTTAGTGACTCACCAGAAGGAAAATATGGATGGAATTCCCTGGAGTCGGCACATCCGGGGTCTTGGATAAACCCTCTGCTGTTCAGTTTGGCCTTGTTTGTGGCAATTGGGGATTGTCCGGTAAAACTGTGTTATTCTTAACTTACTGGCTTTGCTGGAAAAGCCGCGACAGGCCGGACATATCTGGCATAGCTCCCTGCAAGAGGCTTTGTCAGTGAGATTAAAAGAGCACTGGGCAGAAGCACAACATGAAGCGTGGAGGTATGGTAACAGTAAAGGACCAAACATCCACATCCTGCCTAATTTCAGGCTGTTTGTCTCTATTTCTTTAGCTTGAGTGTAGTAGATATAGGACAGGTGTATCCTTTATGATTGTTTAATATATGACATTTTTTAGACGTGGATTCTTTGAAGGTCAATACAATATATTTCACTTTAGCACATGATATAAATGTCCTCTTACAACAAAGACTTTAGAAAAGTGGCTTTAGAAAATATTTAGACTCCATCTGTTCTGCATCTGTTACCTGTTAACTTAAAACTGCACTAATCAATATCAAATAGCTGTGTAATGTGAAAGGGATCACCCACAGTGACAAAGTCACAGTTAGATATCACTCGACTCTTTAGTTCACTTCAGCTCTGAGGAACATTTTGACATTTTTCAGCTCATTGTTTTGAATATAAGGCCTGCAACTTTACTGTTTTGACTCAGTCTGACCACTCTCATAAACTACGTTCACATTATCTACTGAAGTGATCCAAAACCAGATTTGATCTTTTTAGGGGCGTGTGATCAGACCAAATTAGATTTTTTTCCAAATCTGATCTAGGCCACTTCCATATATGATCAGACAGAATGGTCAGATCCAAATTCATGCGATTTTGTGATTTTCTTTTTTTGCCTCTCACTCCTTTGCATGGAGGGTAGCAACAACAGCAACATGAGAGATTAGGAAACTTAACCGTAAAATGCAGATTAACACGTATTTGGTGCTGTAGCGACTGTGTATGGCAGCAGAACAGTGAATGTGGGGATAGAGTCAAACAACAAAATACACGTTCATGGTAATGAAGGACCCCAATGCAACAATGTGACTCACTGAAGCAAAAATGAAGATTTATGACAGAGGAAAATGTTCTATCAACCTTTAGCTATTCACAAGGATATTTGGATCAATAACAGTAAGTAAACTATCAAATATTCCTGGCCCTGCCAAACCATTGATTCTGACAGACCTGTTTGGAAGGACATGAAAGTGACTTTGACAGTGACATATTATGATTGTGCTATATAATTACAGCTGGTAGTCTCTTTCTAACATCAGGTATTGTAATCAATAATAGAAGATTTTTTAAAAATCCATACTTTCCCTGACCCCATTTGATGATGGATCCCAACAAAATAAAAATCTTTGCAGCTAAAAGGCCTGAATAACAACAGCCATAAGCATGTCCACAAAGATAAGGAAACACAAACATGCAGTGTACGAGTCAGAGCGGAAGCAGTTCAACAAGTGAAATATAAATATACAATACAAGCAGCAGTGGGAAAGGTCACCATGGGAACTGGACCTTGTTTTTTGTCAGTGAGTTTGAGAAAGGCAGGCTCTGACTCCAGTACAACAAACTTTTGAGTTCCCACCCAGACCAATAGCTGAGAAGCACTGTCACATCCATTTCTTCATTGTTCCCCAGTTTCCTCTCTGGTTTCTTTCCCCCTCCTTTGCAGTGTGCACAGTTTATCATGTTGTTCTCTGAAGGGAGCTTTCTCTGGGACGTGGCTGAGGCTGCAGTGTCATGCCGGTTCCCACGATCTCCTGCCCTTCCTCCAGAGTTACTGCTTGCTCACTGCTCTGAACAGGAAGACAGTGCAACAAGGCCACAACTGTGTGCTAAATTAGGTTGGCTCTGCTGGGTCTCCATTGTCTTACATGGGAATTACGTGAAAGACTCTCTGTCTCTGTCTTTTTGTTGTGTTTTTTGTTTGTTTTTGTTTTGAAAGAAATTGCTTGATACTTATTAAACGGACTGTCATGAAAATCTGGTACAAATACTCATGTCCCTCTTAGGGTGAACTTACATTAACATTACTAATCCTCTGATATTTCATTTGGAAACATCAACGGGTCAAATATTCTGTTGTGCAATCTTTAGTTTATGATGAAATACCTGCAAAACAAATAGCATTCCCATAGGCCTCAGCTGTTAGTGCTAATTAGCAAATGCTAGCATACTAACTCACTAAACTGTGTGGATAAAATGGTAAACATACCTGCTAAACATCTTTGTGTCAGCATTGTCGTTGTGAGCATGTTAGCATGCTGATGTTAGCATGTAGCTCCGGCACCGCTGGGCCATAATACTTCCTCACAGAGCCGCTAACATTGCTATTGACTGTTATCCTTGTTTTCTTGTGAACTATTGGATAGTTTTATCTCTTCAGGCA